GAGAAGCGTGGATACCGCGAGTCGTAAATTCGCGGGAGGAAGGAGGATGAAAGCACTCGTAACACAGATTGCACAAAGAAATATATAGTCTTTATTTCAAGAACGGGAAGGACGCGAGGGGGAACAACGGATCGTGCGCCGCGGATTCGGAAATCTTCTGAGTCGTTCGTACTTTTCTGCCAGATATCGCGAACGGAAATCTTGTCTCAGCTTCTCGCATCGAAGCCTCTCGCGTAGCGGAGATCTTGTACGCGTCGAACGGAAATCTTGAACGCGCGGCAGAAGAACGATCGCGAGCGGAGCACGACCGGAAGTTTTCGGACCCCTCGCTAAGTAGCACACTTAAATTATAACTAACTGTGATCCGCACGTTAAGACGAAACGAACGAATAGCGATTCACGCAGCGATTTAAGAGGGAGAGAGCCGTGCTGTCTTTAGACGAGGATTGATACGCGACGAATTTTGATTATGAGGTCTAGCTCACGACTTGAGGCTAGGAATCCTCAGCAACGACTGACTGTCGAGGCGAGCGAATTCGCCGTTTACTCAAGAGGGTTGTTTTTCAGGAACGAACGCGCGATGAGAGCTGAATCGCGATTCGTCCGTATGGTCACATCACGCGTCAAAACAGCCGTTTCCGTGCTCCGACAAATAAGGGAGCACTCTCGTAAAGCCCGTATCACACTAGCGGCTCGCGGCGCGACTGCGACTGCGTCTGCGATTGCGACTCTATTTCAGCCAATCAAAAAGGTAGCTATCAGCGATTACGATTGGCGTCAGCGATTGCGACTGGCGACTGCCGTTTGGTAAAGCCCATATGGCCGCGACTACGATTGCGTCTGCGATTACGATTCTATTTCAGCCAATCAAAAAAGTAGCTGTCAGCGATTGCGACTGGCGACTGCCTTTTGGCTTTGAATCCATTTTTCGAGTCGCAGTCACAGTCGCAGCCAATCACAGGATCCGATTTGGTCACGTGGTGCAATGTGGTGCTAGTGCGTGAAAACCACGTGTATACGACCGTGTTGAAAACAATAATATTGAACATCTGTGATATTGAAGCAGATAGAAAGTCACACAATGCCACCGAAACATAATTTCTCGAAAGAGACAGATTACCGTCTGATCGACCTTGTGGAATTAAAACCACTTCTTTGGGACTGTACAAGCCACTTGTACAGACAAACAGATCTCAAGATTGCAGCATGGGACGAAATAGCCGAGCAGTTGGGTTCAGATTTCACAGGTATGTCTCGCAATCAGAAGTGAATCGGTTCAATACTATCAACTATTTATAATTTATTATAATTAATTTAATATTAACTAACATAACCTATAATTAATGAATAATTAATATATATTAATGTTTCTTATAGTTTATATTGGAGTGGATTAAAGAATTACAATTTTTTGTAGGAAATATATTAATAAGTTAAAGTTATGCAGAATTAAAATAATAAAATTATGTAATAGGCTTTTTATTGATGCTATTTACAGGTGCTGTTGTATCAAGCCGTTTTAGGAACATGAAGGATACGTTTGCAAGAAATTTAAAAGTTATGAAAGAATCAAAGCGCAGTGGAACTGGCACAGACAATATATACAAGCCCAAGTGGCACCTGTTTGAGAGATTAATGTTTCTCCAAAAGAGTTGTATCCAAGGAGACTCACAATCAAATATTTCCCCCATCCAGCTAGAGACAACTGCAGCATCAGATTCAGAATCTTCACAAATCATTGATGAAGTGAATGATAATACATCATGTACACAAAATACACCACATATCTACTATGATGAAGCATTGCAGGTAAATTATTTTTTAAAGTAATCGCCATTATGTTATTTTTTTTTATTTTTTTTTATTTCTTTTTTCGAAGTAAAAATGATATTTTTACAATCTCGGTAAATCACAGTACAGAAACTAATTCTATATGTATCTGTAATTATTTTTCAGGAATTTGCGATAATTCCACCTGAAGTAAATGTAGGAAGTACACACTTGACATCTTCTGATCCAAATTCTTCTAGTGTATCTGTATGTAGCGATTTTGAACCAATTGCACCTCTACCAGAAAAGAGTCCGTCACCTCAATCTCTCCCAAGGCTGGCATCTAATTTTGCACTCAGCAGCATCACTCAATCTTCTCAACAACAACAAAATTCTGTTACTGTATCCAACAAGCGATCATCAGAAAATCAACAGCAATTATTTTATAAGAGAGGATTGAAGACGAAAAAACAATCATCAATAATGGAGGAGGCTGTAGGTGCCTTGAAACAGATGGCTCAACCTGACCCAGTTTTATCTCTTCCTCAACCTGAAATCAATGATTCAGCTCATACTTTGGCATTATTCTTAGAAACCAGGCTTCGTTCGTTACCTTCGGAGAATCGAAAAAAGTGTGAAGATGAAATTTTGAAACTGTTAACACAGTTTTGAAGAGTTTAAAATTAAGTAATTAGTTATTAAATAAGTATTTTTTTCGGCTATGTCATTGTAATGCAAATTCCTAATTTTTTATTGCTTTCTTATCCAAAGATAAAGTAAATATTATCTATTATAGTGAGACATTTAAACAAGTGTTAATTTATTTTATAGAGGAATTGTTACAATACATGAACATATATTTTAT